CAAATGGAGTCAATTTCAATTCGTGTTGATCGTGTCGAGCTGACCTGATTTTCTTCCTTGACTTGTCTGGTGTTGTTCTTCTAGATCAAGTGTGTGTAATTCTTCTTCTAGCTCTTCCTGGTCTTCCCCAGTGGCAGATTTTCATCAAGGGAACAGCATTGATCCTGGGTTGTTTTTTTGTTTTGTTTTTTTCTTTTTTTTCCATTTTTCTTGGCTGCCTCCTCCACTGTCCTCATCCAAATCGCTTCTTTCGCCATCCTCAGTCCGACCTCCAGACACTTTACTTAATTTGTTTTCATTTTTATCTGAAGTGTGTGTGCTGAACCTTTCAAGACTGGCCACAGAGATACCAGTCTCTTCTGTATCTCATGGGATGTGCAGGCTTAAGTCTGTGTCATTTACACTCATAGAATCATCAGCCTCACCACCTGTCCCCTGAATGTGGTGGGTACCATCTGTTTCCTCCTCTCCTCACTGTCCTTGTTTGAAGAATGCACATACCACAGATTTGGGTGCTTCGCCTTAGTTTTTTGTGCAGCAGCTACAGGTTTGAACAACTCGTTTAGTTCCCGTAGTTCTTTCTTCTTGACGTCTTCCTTCAAGGCCTTTTCACGTCACTTTGTGTCCCTGATGAGGGTTCTGTTGATGATTCCACCTGATGAGTGGCAGCCTTAACAGAAGACTCCGCTGTCTTTGTGCCTTTAGACTCTTAGACTGAGAGCCTTGTCCTCTGTGACCTTCTCCTTCTGCTCTGCCTTCTTGCTGCCCCAGCCTGAGGCTGGAAGAGATTATTCTTTAAGACAAATTTCTTTTGCTTGTTTGATTGTTTTTGTTTTTGTTTGTTTGTTCATTTGTTTTGAGATAGGATCTTGCTTTGTAGCCCCGCTGGCTTCAAACTCCTTATCCTCCTGCCTCAGTGTCCTGAGTGTTGTGGTTATTGCTTCTCATCCTCTTTATCCTGTGTTATAAAGCTACTAATATGCCGGGCAGTGGGGACACATGCCTTTAATCCCAGCACTTGGGAGGCAGAGCCAGGCGGATCTCTGTGAGTTTGAGGCCAGCCTGGTCTACAGAGTGAGATCCAGGACAGCCAGGGCTAGACAGAGAAACCCTGTCTTTTTTTTAAAAAAAAAAAAAAAAAAAAAAAAAAAGCTACTAATGTAAAACAGATCATCCCAGGATCATCTTTACCATCAAGACATCTAAGTGAAGTTTGGGGTTTTGTCATGGTTCTCTTTCTTGACTAATCATTGTCCATAGAGTTGAGTACACCAGGGATGTATAAGCAAAATTCTGTTTTAGGGGCTGGAGAGTTGACTCAGCAATTAAGAACACTGGCTGCTCTTCCAGAGGACCCGAGTTTGGGTCCTAGCGCCCACGTGACGGCTCACAACCATCTGTAACTCCGGTTCTGGGGATCTGATGCCTTCTTCTTGCTTCTGTGAGTCCTGAGCTTACATGTGGCCCTCATACACACATGGAGGAAAGACACCCACACACATAAAATGAAAGTGAACTAAGCTGGGCTTGAGAGTCGGGTTGGCAGTTAAGAGCACTTGTTTCTCTTACAGAGGACCCTGGTTTGGTTCCCACTGCCTACATGGTAGCTCATAACCATCAATAACTTCAATTCCGGGGACTTTGACCTCCACAGGTACCAGGCACGCACACAGTATGTACATATACATGTAGCAAAAACACATACACATATGATAAGTTAATTGCTATTTAGTTATTTTAAAATATATTAATTAAAAGATTAACCAGTTAAAATGTAAATTAATTTAATTAAATCATTTAAATGCTGTTTTTAGCAAGGTGTGGTGGCACATATCTATAATCCCAGCACTTGGAAGGCAGAGGTGTGAGGATTTGGAGTTCAAGGGCAACCTTGGCCACACAGTGAATTCCAAGCCATCCTTAGGTGTATTAGTAAGACTCTCTCTCAAAATAAACAAACAAACACCCACCAACCGTCCCCACACAAAAAACCCTCTTCAAAGTCTCAGGCTGGGACCTGAGAGATATTGGATTGGGTCTAAATTCCAGCTGTGCCGTATGACCGTGGACAAGCTGCTTAATGTCCCTTAGCCTCAGCTTCCTGTGTGACCTGCCTTCATGGTGACAAAGCTGCTGTAGGAGCCTGGCCAAGGGCCTCCCATTCAGTAGGTGCACAGGAAGTAGTTGCCTTCCAATAGAGCAGCACTTCTCAATCTGTGGGTCATGACGCCCTTGGGGTTGGCCGACACTTTCACAGAGGTTGCCTAAGACCATAGGAAAACACAGATATTTACATTAGGATTCATAATAGTAGCAATGAAAATAATATTATGGTTGGGGTCACCACTACATGAGGAATGAATTAAAGGGTTGCAGCATCAGGAAGGTTGAGAGCCACTGCTAAGGAAGTCTGTCCTGCTGCCCCATGACAGCATGAGGGCTGAGCTGGACAGCCATGCCAGCCATCCCCCACGGGCAGGACTGTCTGGAGACAAGGCTGGCTGGAGCTGGTTACACCAGTGGTCCCAGGCCCTGGCTTGGCTCTACAAGGTGACAAGGGAGTTGCTCCAAATGAAGACCTCTCCCAGACAGACCGCTGCCCATGCAAGCTAGGTCCAGGAGTTCCCACAAAACCCATTAGCATGGGGGAACCCATCCTGCTGAGGTTCAAATCCTCATTCTGCCCTTTTCTCTGCCTGAATCTTCAGTCAACCTTCTGTTTGTTGGGGGTCATGAGATCACCTGTCCCTTGGGGATGTTAGGAGGCTGAAATTCGCTCAGAGGGTTGGATGTGTGAAAACATGTTGATGAGGTAGCTGAAGGTGCTGGGGAACTCCTGACATCCTGACAAAACCAAACCAAAAAGCGATCCTTAAGTACCACTTGGGAGCCCGTCCTCACACCCTTCACGTCACTGACCCATCCAGCTGGCCGCAGACAGCAGCCCCCTCGGGCAGAGAGGCCCAGACAGACCTAGCCATCACCATTTCACGAGTTCAGTGCCAGCCTGGGTCACACAGTGAGTTTCAGAGCAGCGTGGGTTACATGAGATGCTGCCTTGAAAAGACAAAGGTAGAGGCTGGGCTGGTAACTCAGTCGATAAATTCTTGCCTTGCAAACTTGAGTTTGCCTGTTTATTTTACTTATTTTTGAGGACTAATAAGATTTCACTACTAACCAAAGGATACTTCAAAAACAGCCATCAAGAGTGCTGAAAGGAGCCGGATGTGGTGGTGCACACCTTTAATTCCAGCACTCGGAAGGCAGAGGCAGGAGGATCTCTGTGAGTTGGAGGTCAGCCTGGTCTGCAGAGAGAGTTCAGGACAGCCAGGGCTGTTACACAGAGAAACCCTGTCTTGGAAAAACAAACAAAGAAACAAAACAAAAAAATAAAAACAACAAAAGAATACTGAGAGGAATTCACAGATAGATGCAGAGCTGCTCCCTGGGGCTGTGGTCACCTCTGCAGGTGGACACATCTGCATGCCTCTGGATGAGTGTGGTCTGCTTTGCATCCAGTTTTGAACAACTTTCTTGTCAGACAGCTTGGAGATGGAGGGCTGAGGTCACTCAGAAGGCTGCACCAGGAGAGACACCGGGGATGGTGTTCGCCTGTTTACAAAGCTTTCACCATTTTCCTGACAATACCGCCCCTCCCCCACTACTCCCCCCCAACCCCCCCAACCCCCGTTCACTCACACAGCCAAGCTCTCAGCAAGTCAACTGTTCGTTTGCACCCACCGCCCCAGGTTCACACACACAGCCAGTCAACTGTTCGTTTGCACCCACAGCCACACCGTCTTACTCCACGCCTTGCTGTCCCTGCTGCAATGCACTTTCCCACCCCTCCTCCACCCAACAACATCTTGCTGACCTCCAAGCCTCTCTCTGAGCTGGGGTCCCTCTGTCTAGCAGACTTATTTCCTGCCTCCTGACTGTTGCCTGGAAAGTAGATAGGCGCCAGTGGGCCAATCTGGTTTGAGTTCCACCCTGTACTTTGCAGACTCAAGCCTAAGTCTTCCTGTAACATAACAGAGCCAATCTCATGGCAAGTTATCTCAAGTGCCAGTGGCTGGAGAGATGGCTCAGAGGTTAAGAGCACTGGTTGCTCTTCTAAAAGACCCAGGTCCAATTCCCTGGTCGCTCACAACTGTCTATAACTCAGGTTCCAGGGGATCTGACACCCTCACACTGACCTAAATGTAGGCAAAAAAACCAATGCACATAAAATTAAAAAAAAAAAAAAGGATTAAATTGCCGGGCAGTGGTGGCGCAGGCCTTTAAACCCAGCACTTAGGAGGCAGAGGCAGGCGGATCTCTGTGAGTTCCAAGCCAAAGTGTCTACAGAGCTAGTTCCAGGACAGCCAGGGCTGTTTACACAGAGAAACCCTGTCTTGGAAACACAAAACCAAAGCAGAAAAACCAAAAACCAAATCAAAATAAAGATTAAGTTATCAGAGATTGGGGAAATGTTCGGCAGGTCCTCAGAAGTCAGGTTGGGGGTGTGGCTCAGTTGGTAGAGTGCTGGCCTGACAACGCCCTGGGTTCAGTCCCCAGCACCTCAGAAACTGGATGTGATCACTTACTGTCATCTCACAATCAGGAGGTAGAGGCTGGAGGATCAGAAATTCAAGGTCCTCCTCAGCTGTGAGTTTAATGCCAGCCTGGGATACCTGCAGCCCTGCCTCCAAAGGAAAAAGGAGGTCAGCTTAACCAAGGTCCCATGGGGCTCTGGACCTCATGGCTGCAGCTGGGCCACCGTCTGCATGTCCCCAGGCTGTGGTAGTGGATTGGGTTCAGCTGATAGAGAGAGGCTGCTTGGGGACAGCTGGCCATGGATGGCGTGGGCAGCCCGTGTGGAGAGGACAGGAGGATTAACACCTGGACAAGTAGCTTTGCCGGACACAATGGGTGTTGAGGGTCCCACACCAAAGCCTCCCACCAGATGATCTTGGGCACAGCATATCCTAAGCCCTCCTTCCTTGTGTCCTATCACACAGATAGTCCTTCAACACCCCATGAACATGGACATACGAGCCTGGGGAGCAGACCCTGTGACCATGGTGAAGTCACTCTGCCTTTGTGGGCCTCAGTTTCTTCAGAGGTAAGACAAGGCTTCCACATGGCCAGCCTCCTAGGGCATATGGTAGTTAATCTGAGTGTCTGCCCAGCTGGGCTGGTAATTCCCTGGTGGCTGGTAGACATGGTCTCTGCTGCATGTGTGAGGACTCCTGGAGGTGCTCCCAGTACAGAGCTCTACCTTCACCAGGTCCTCTCTTCCCAGAGTAGGGCGGGAAAAATTTGCTCTTCTCTTGCCTCTGAAGCTCGACACCGCTCTTCTTCCGTCTTTGGACATAAGAGCTCTGGATTCTTGGGCCTATGGACTCCAGTACTTAAACAACAGCCCCAGGGCCAGCGAGATGGATCAGCAGGGAAAGAAAGGTGCTTGCCATCAAGGCTGACAACCTGAGTTGGATCTCTGGGACATACGGTGGAAGGAGGAACTGACTCCTGCATGCAAGTTGTCCTCTGATCTCCATGTACCACACACACACACACACACACACACTCAATGTAATAATAAGCTGGACATGGCAGCACACACCTTTAACCCCAGGACCTGAGAGGCAGAGGCAAGTGGATCTCTGAGTTTGAGGCCAGCCTGGTCTATTTAGTGAGTTCCAGGACAGCCAGGGCTACAGAACAGAGAGATCCAAGGTGGGTGGTGGTGGTGGTGCAGAGACAGGTGGGTCTCTGTGAATTCCAGGACATCCTGGTCTACAACATAAGTTCCAGGACAGCCAGGGCTGTTACACAGAGAAGCCCTGTCTCGGAAAAACAGACCAAACCTACCAACCAAACAAACAAACAAAAAAGAGATCATGTCTCAAATAACAAAAAAGTAGTAAAGTAATAATAATAATAAATACCCCAACAGCAGCTGCAGTACATATCCCTGGTTCTCAGGCCTTCTGGCTCCAACTAAGCCACTTGTCCAGAATCTCTGTATCTCCAGCTTGTGGCTGGCAGATTGTAGAACTTCATGGCCTCTGTGGGTGTGTGTCCATAATAAACTCTATTGTTTCTACTCTTTTGGAGAATCCTTGCTAACAACAGGCTGGTGTGTGCCTTAAACCACAGGTATTTAAGGACCTGACACACACTGAACCCTTAATTTAGTTACTGTCAGGAAGGCAACAGCTTGGCAGGTCCACGTGGTGCCATGAGAGGGCACACTCTCCTGAGTGTGGAAATTGGCTTGATTTCCTTCTCCTTATCAGGTGGCTTTGCCTAAGTCACTTCTCTTGCAGCTTCTGTGTCCTTTTCTGGAAGAGCGACAGTCAGTTTTTCCCTTTCATTCGGAGCAGCAGTGTCATAAGGACCTGGTGCACAGACGTGCAGGAGTTACTGGGAGAGAGGGGAGTTACGGTGTGTGGGAGGCTAAGTGGTGCTCTCTGAGGGCTGGGGTAGAGCTCAATGACAGAACACTTGCCTGGAATGCACAAGGCCAGGATTTCATCCTCAGTACTGTAAAACATGAATAAGGGGCTGGAGAGGTGGCTCAGTGGTTATGAGGACTTGCAGAGGACCTGGGTTCAGGTCCTAGTCCCTACCTGGCAACTAACAATTTCAACTACTGTTCCAGAGGATCTGATGCCTTCTTCTGACGTTCTCAGATACTGAAAGTACATGGTGTACAAACATACATACAGGCAAAACACTCATATACATAGTGATGTTGGACTGGGAGTAGTGAGTGGCACATACCTTTAATCCCAGCACCCAGAAAGCAGAGGCAGGTGGATCTCTGGTCTAGTTCAAGTTCGAGGCCAGCCTGGTCTACACAGTGAGTTCCAGGACAGCCAGAGCTACATAGTGAGACCCTGTCTTCAAAAGAAAACAAACAAACAAACAAACAAATTGTGGTGATGCGATATTAAGAAAATATCTCTTACATTCTAAGAGACTGGAACTTTTGCTGGGCCTCACAGGCAGAGTTGTTAGTATACCTTGAGGTCATGTAAGACTTAAGACTGTTTTCCTAATGTCTACTCAGCCTGATTGCTTAAGGCCTTCAAGAGAACAACAATGTAACAACCACTACTACTTGCCTTGAATTTCCTATGTAACTAACCTTTGTAACCTAAGCTAATGCAAGTCTGTAATCTTAAATTATGCACTCCTCCATGCCCTGGGCCCACAGTAATGCATTTGTGTTTTGATAATCACTTGCTGAGAACAGCAAAAATAGACGTCAAAGGTGACCTTATAAAATGTATACCCACCATAAATGTTGAACAAAACGTTTGGATATTGCTTAATAAACGACAGTGTTTGTAGTTCTGTTTGCCATCCGGGTCAGTTGTAGTCAGTGACGTCATCCCTTGTAAACTGTTGAAGATTTCTGTGAAGTGTCCCATTTCTTCCCCATGTGACGCTTTCTGTGCAGTAAAAATGGGCCTTTGTTAGGAACAGACACATTCAGACAGACAGACACAGACACACAGGGACACATTTACCAGATAGCCTTAAGGCAGCACAGATTCAGACTCACACAACGGACAGACAAGAAGACAGAGACAGAGGGAGCATGAAGCAGAGGGTTGAAATGGGGCTCACTCGCTCTTGATTTAAATGACACCAAGGATTTCTTCCCTTAATGTGATACTGATGTATTATTGGTGATGCAGAGTTAATCACTAATGTGTTTAATCTACACAAAACAATAAGCAAATCATTTTAAAATTTTAAACCAAAAAATACATAAAATCAGACATGAATAATGGCCCCTGAGAACTTCCATGCCCCCAATCCTGGTATCTGCCACTGTTCACTATATGTCAAAAAGGACTTTGAGAGGTGCTGAAGGAGCCAGGTGTGTCCACTGCATCACAGAGATACTCCTAAAAGGCAAGTATAGGTAGGGTGGGCACCAGGAGCAAGAGTTACAGAAGAGACCGTAATGAAAGAGCCGTAAGCAAGGGAGGCAGCAGCCTCAGGGAGCTGAAGAGCCTCCCAAAGGCTTTTAGCCACAAGAAAATCACTGTGGATTTCTACTTCGAGGACTATAAAAGGATTTGTGAAGGGTACACTCCCCTGAGCTTGTGGTCAATTATTAGCATAGCTTCAGGAAATAACACAGTGGGAGAGCGCCTGCCTCTGTTTCCTCGTGGCCCTAAGGGGTGGACTTAAGTAGTAGGAGGTTGGTTAAATGAGGTGGGCTATCAGGGACCAAACATGGACCATGGAAAAGTACTAGCTAGGCCAGAGAACAAGCCCCTGCCCTAAACCAGATGCCCCCGAAGATAAAGAACCGGTCAGGTAGGTCAGGTAGCATAGCAACAGAACAATGGGCCTGACCAGTGACCTTACCACCTAGCAGCCTCACGACTAGCACGTCCTCCTTGACTTGCATGTCTCCCCTCAACTGCACGTCTTGCACGTCCTGCACCCCTTCCCTCCTTCCTGCCCCCCTCCCCCTCCCATGCTATATAAGCCTTGCTGAGGAGAATAAAATTTGCAGCTTGATCAGAACACTGTCTTGCTGTCTTCCTTCGTGTCTCCCCATCCCTTTCATTCTCTCCTTCAGGTGGGTCGCCCCGGTTGACACCCCGCTGGCCGGGACAACTTTTGTAGCTTGAGTTTTCCTGTCTGGCCCACAGTCAGGACAAATCTCTCTCACCTGCCAGTCCCACAGCCGCTCAGACCCAACCAAGTAAACACAGAGACTTATATTGCTTACAAACTGTATGGCTGTGACAGGCTTCTGGCTAACTGTTCTTATATCTTAAATTAACCCATTTCTATAAATCTATACCTTGCCACGTGGCTCATGGCTTACCGGCATCTTCACATGCTAAAAACTTGTCATGGTGGCGGCTGGCAGTGTCTCTCCCTATCTGCCTTCCACTTCCCAGAATTCTCTTCTCTGCTTGTCCCACCTATACTTCCTGCCTGGCCACTGGCCAATCAGTGTTTTATTTATATAGAGCGATATCCACAGCAGTGGGCTTCGTGTGGAGCTGAGTGTGAATGTGTGTGTGCATAAGAGCATGATGTACACAAGGATGGAGGTTGGACAGGCCATGGCCTCCCAATGCTCTAGAGCTATGGGGACACTGGCTGGGGTCTAGCTCTGGTCCTAAGTCACCTGTGTGACCTCAGGAAGTCTCTGTCCCTCTCTGAGTCTTCGTTTATTCCTCTGTCAGCCACAGAAGTTGGACCTGGAGCCCCATGGGCCTGGCCATCTCCATCCCTGTCACTGGGTAGCAGGCAGGCTTGCTTGGGTGCTTGGCTTCAGAGAGGAGCAGTTGAGGCTGTGCCTAGCATGGAGCTGGGCACTTCCAGTGTGACTCAACGCCCTCTAGAAGACAACTCTGGATTGACAGAGAAGCTCCTCTTCCCTTCTCATTGGCAAAAATGTTCCCCTGGAAGGGTCTGGCATTGGGTAGGGATCCCATGAGTCTCAGGAACTACTGGAGGAGGGTCCTTGCACACAATGCAGGCCCAGACCCCAGGATAAGACCTTATTTGGAAACTGGGCCTTGCCAAGGTGATCGAATAGAGATAAATGGAAGACACTGGATCAAGGTTCCCACCAGTATCCATGATCCCCCGAAGAAGAGGAAACAGATACCTGAAGGGACAGTGGTGTCAATGAAAAGCCCACGGAGAAGGTCATCTAAAGTCATGGGCAGAGATTGCGGTGAAGCCATCAGGGGTCAAGAACCTGGGACTCATGATCCTCAGTGCTGGCTCCAAGAGGAGTTTTGGTAGGTGTTGCTAAGACTCTATTTGGACCCTCACTGGTGACCTCTGGGAGAAGAGAGCAAACACTGTCAGGATTTGGAAGTCCTGGCTGTGTTGGGGACACAATGGGAACGGTCATGAGTGAATGTTGAGGGGTTTCCTGTTCTTGCACTGTTTCATAGGGGTTTTTTTTGTTGTTATTGTTTTTTGTTTATTGTTTATTGGGGGTGGGCTCTGCATTGGACACTTGAGATGGGGACCTGCTCCCTCAGAGGTTTTAAAGCTCTATCAAAAAGAAAAAGAAAAAAAAGGTGTGTGTGTTAGCAAGATGGCTTATCAGGTAAGTCCTCTGACCTCCACACTTGCAGTGTCTTACACACATGCATACACATGACGGGGGGGGGGGGGGGGGGGGGGGGGGGGCACGACACAGGACACACAAAAACACGCTAGGTGTGGTGTATCACACCTGTAATCCCAACACTCAGGATGCAGAAGAAAGCAAATCTCTGTGAGTTCCAGGCCAGCCAGGGCTACCGAGTGAGACTTTGTCTCAAACCAAAACACACAAACAAAAAAGAACAAGACTGGAGAGATGACGCAACAGTTAAGAGTACTTGCTCCCAGGGAGGACCCGAGCTGGGTTCCCACGGCGCAGCTCACAACCCTCTGTAACCTGCAGTTCCAGGGGGTCGGGGATCTGATGCGTTCAGACACACATGGCACGTATACAGGTAGACAAACAAGCGTACACCTAAACTAAAAATGAATACATATTTTAAAAAGCCACAAAAGTTATGTATATTACAGGTAGCAAGCATTGGGCTGAGTTTTGAGCA